GAGATCAGAAGAGCACAGTTTGAAATTGTTAATGTAACAGGGTATATGCATCTGCCTTAAAAGCATTCTGATGAGGGTGAAGGTAAGGATCAATTGAAACTGGGCTCTGTCTGTATTCATGCGAGCCTACATGGTGGCCATGGCAGTGGAAGTTACGAATTAATCATGCCTAGCAGAGGGGAATCACAAAGATGGTTGAACGTGCTAATATCAAGGCACTGGTGTCAGGTTCAAGGTTCAAAGCTGCCAATTACTAAGGGCAAAGAGTTTTGTATTTTTTAAACCTTCAATTCAGACTTTATTTCTTCAAGATATAAATTAAGCTTAATACTATCAGTGGTGAACAAGTTATTTATGTTCTAATGCTGACGAATGCAGGAAATAAAAAATGTTTAAGTGCCACTTATTTAAAACAATTCAAAATGAAAATAAGTTTATTGAGTTCTATGGGAAAATTATATTCTTATAGCCTATATTGTTTCCTTAATTAAGTATGAGACTTTCAATGAGAAACTTGAAAGCTTTATAAGCCACTAAAATTAAATCTTGGCATACTTGAGAAATAGCAATGCAGAGACAAGTTTGTAATATTCCATCCTGAAACTGTAGAGTAATTTAGCACTCACATTTGTTCACATTCATTATCTCTATTTATTAATGAAAAAAAATCTTGCAATGTGGATGTAATTAGTGAGGAGACTTGGAGAGGTAAAGTGATTTTCTTCAAGTCACCCAGCAAGTTTGCCACAGAGCTGGAACTCAAAATAGTTCATTCCAGTTAATGCAATGTTTACTAACTTTATTAACGAAGGCAGGCCTAATAGCTGTAATAAATAAACCTCCAAATTTCAATACTTAACACTATAAATGTTGGTGTTTTTTTTTTTCCTGTTTTTTTTTCTTTTTCTTGCGAATCTAAGAGCCCAGCATGTGTGCTTGTGATTGGTGGATCTTTTCTAAGCAGTGCTTCAGGGACCCAGGCTTCTTTCATCTGTGGCTCTACAGTCTTAAACACATAGCCTCCAGGCTACTTGTGGTCATCTGCATTCCATGCAGCTGGAAATGGCAAAGCATGTGGAGGATTGCATGAAGAACATTGTATGGAGCATGTCTTGAAATAACTCACACCACCTTCCATTCATCACAAGGCAATTACATAATCATTGCTGACCACAAGTGGGACACGATGATCTGCCACATTGGTGAGCACCTTGGGACTTCAGCCTGAGTCTTCTTCATCTCTCTGTATTGTATATTGTTTATGCACAGTAATAATATATGTTCAGTATTTTCCCACCATCTTAATCTCCCTCTGCCATCATTGTTGAAGGGTCTTTTTTATATTGATGAGATAAAGTATAAGCCCCTAATTCCCCTCCCTTTTTCTGGCAGTATTCCCCCCACCTCCCGTTCCTGTGAAAATAGTGGGGTTGCCTTATTGTTGAACATAACCTTGCTACGATAGAGACAGCTGACTGGTGCAGGCATAGGCACCACCCCAAGCTGAACCAAATAGAATCCTTCATGGAAGCCTTCTCTGGGATTTTTCAAGCTGTACCTAAAGAAATTCACTTCTCTGTAGGTACAGTGTGAGGCTCAGAAGCTGTTTGTGGCCATGTTTTCCATTTGCAGCAGAAGGCAGTCTATAGTGATAGATAAGTGGTGCAAAACCAGGGAGGGGCAGAAGAGAGATGGGACAAGTCCTTATGGTCCATGTCCAGGATTCCAACTGCTCCAAGGCCCAACTACAACCTCATGTTCCTGCAGTTTGGTTCAAGACTTACCACCTATGAGAGATAACCCAGTGCCCTCCCAATAAATTCTCCCTTTGCCTAAGCTAGTGTGAGTTAGGTATATGTCTAAGCAATCACAAAAAAACCCTGATCATGCAGCTCAACAGCCCAGGGTGAGTCTGAGCAGGAGCCTACAGCCTTCCAAAAGGGCTTTCTCTCAGGGCCTGTTTCTTCTTCTAGTAGATGCAGTGAGCTCATTCCACACCATGCAGGCCTTTCCCGCCCAGTGGGGAAGTTCTCAATCCCTTTCACGGGCTTCCCCCATTAGGATATTGTGCATGAGGATTCTAAAATATTTTCTTTACAGTTGCATGGCAGATATTTCCTTCTATGTTCATGGCCTCACGTAACCTGAATGCTTGTGTTTCCACATAGATTGAAGGTCATATCTGGAAGCTAGGTGGGTCAATGGGGCCCTTGTTTGGGTTCATGAATATCTACATCAAATGATCCGTGAGGTCCTTTCCCACTGTGACCCTTGTACAAGGGTTACACGTGGACCTGGGGTGGAAAAATAATTATTTCTGAAGTACCTTTCCCTTTACAAGGTGACTCTCCTGTAAATTTCTCTTTTAAGCTCATAAGGGGATAAATAACTCCATTGCACATGAGTTTGATAGGATTTCTCTTTTTTTCATTTGTAAAATGAGTGATTAGTGAGCATTACATTGTATTAATGTATGCAAAACACCTAGCACAGGGTCACATACTTGGTAAGTGTTAGTTTCTCCCTCATATATTCTCACATTACCTACTGTTACTCTCAGGGCTCTGAGAAGTGAACGGAGCTTAAGACCAGAGGGATGTAGTGGTTTTGTACAAATTCTCTCAGGAACCACAACCTCACCCCTACCCCCATTACCATTGGCCCTCCTTCCCTCCCTCCCTCCATGACAGCTCTGTGTCTTCTCTCCATCCCAGTGTCCTTGTTTTCTCCCACAAGCCCCATTTTCCTTCCCCTTACTCTCCTCCCCTCCTCCTCCCAGCCCCAGCTGCTGGTGTGGCTGGCTGTTCTGATGCTATTGATTTTGCTCTATAAAAGATTGCTCAATTCATTTTCTCCACTGCGGCCCAGCGCCAGACCTCAGGGTAGGCCCCACAATGACCAAGCTGATTATGTGCACCGCTTCCCCTGAAGGACTGCAGCCACATTCCCTCTCAGTTTCCAGGCAGGGTAAGACAGTGAAGGTGAACATGATTCATAAGCTCTAAAGAGCTAAGCAGAGAGTAGTGGACCTTGACTTGCTCATCTCCATATTTACAAAGCTCAGCACAAGGCCTGGCACCAAGTTGGTGTTAATAATGTTTCTTGAGATAAAATGAATCTCTTTTCTTAGCTTCACAGCATCCTGGGATCTCCACTGACTTCTGATTGCCAGTAGCAGTGGTTTGCAACCCTGGCTACACATTAGAATCACCTGGGGAGATTTAAAACAACCTGTGGTCAGGCCTTACCAGAGACCAATTAACTAGTAATCGCTGGTAGTGTGGCCTGAGCATTGTCACTTGGTAAGAGTTCAGTGGGTAACTGATATGCCCCATTGCAGGACTGTAGGATAAGAATAGCTTTTCTAGTCTGACACTCAAGGTCCTCCAGGTCTCAGCTCTTTCTCTGTTCCCATCCTCACTTCCTTCCACTTTATTCTGCACACTCAACATTCCAGTTACTTGACATTCTCACTTTCCCCTGTGGATGTCACTATACCTTTGCCCTTGCTGTTTCCCCTTCAAGGACAGCCCTTTCTTAGTATCTTCCTGGCAAGTTCCTACTCGTTTTATAAGACCCAGAAGAAATGCCACCTCCTCTAAAATATTCCCAGTCTTTTCAAGACACTGGGGGTTCAAATTTTCATTGCTGCATCATAATCTCTTTTCACAGTGGGATTTGCCTGATACCTCCAATTTCTCTTGTATTGTCCTGGATTTAGTTTCTTCCACATTGGCCTCTCTTGCCTGATAGCCCAGGTGGATTTTTTACTTGGTCCTGTAGTCCAGCTTTGTCCCAGGACATGATTGTTTGGGATTTTCTTTGGCTCTAAACTTTGAAGTCCACTGGCTGGCCCATCTCCCCATCCTTTCTCTGCTTCCAAACTTCTATCTGGGTACAGTGACTGGGACCCCACTTCGTTGGGAGAGGCATTTGGATAAAAACTGTACTAGGTAACAATGGCCCATATTTATCGAGTGTTTACAACATGCCATGTTAAAGTGATTTGCTGTAGTATCTTATATAACCCTGTATAAATGAGTCACTGGGATTAAAGAACTTAAAGAACTCGTCCAAAGTCAATCAGGCAGCAAGATATTTCCCTGACCTAAGGGTCTCCAAAGTCCATATGTTTCATACCTATTTCATACTGGAATGCTTCTTCTGTGTGTGTTTGGTTTTTAACTCTCTTGTTACAGTCGCAAGGCTATATCATAATTTATTGGTTGATATGTCTTCTCTACCCTACTAAACTGTGATCTTCTCAAGGTCAGGAATTGAGATATTCAAGTCTATCTTCCTAGCACTTAGCAAATTGCCTGGCCTGGAACACAGGCTCAATAAATGCTTGTGGCCTGAATAAATAAATGGCCGCTATAGCCTTATGGGAAACTGGTAGGGAAAAGGAGACAGAATTATCTAGATGGCAGTCTGACCATAAAGCTCCAATGGCCCTGATTACTGGGATCTCTGCTAGGCAAAGAAGGCAGATGGGTGGAGGAGTAGGGGCAGCTGCCCTGGGGGTGCCTTTCCCTGGTTCCCTTGAAATCCAGCGTCTGTCCTGTCCTGTCACCCAGCAGCAAGAGAACATTTATTCCCCAAGGGCCAGTGCTGTGCCAGCAGCAGGTGGCGGCCTGTCCACTGGGAGGGAGGGAGGCAGCAGGCAGGAGCACTGATGTGTGCCTGAGACAAGATGCTGCAAGTCTGCTCTCAGCACGGCGGTGACAGCAGCTGGGACAGGGTTGCAAGTCACCATTCTGTAACCATTAAAGACCAGTTGCTGTCCCTTTCATAATAATAAATTAAAATATCACTCGAAATCGTGCTGGTTTCAGATAGCACAAATAAAACCCAAAGACAAAAAATAACGACAACCAAAAGCACAACAAAAGAGCCCCCCTAATGCTATCAGTTGGGTTGTATATAAAATTGAGAGGCTACTTGGTGATTATAGAAAAGCTTTGTGGCTGCTTTTCAAGATGCAATTTTTTATTTCCTTGCAGAAAAAAAAGGGAAAACAGCAACCCGCAATCAACCAATGACATATACTTTTGGAAAGAAGATGAGAAGGCAAGTAGAGGTAACATATTTCTTTCTGCTTATTTGGTTGCTTGAAGAACTTGTGTTATTACTAAACCAAGCCCTCAGTATCTCTCTTCACCATTGTCTGAAAATGTGCATGTTTGAGGTCAGCAGGCCTGAGTAGAAGCCAGTGAACTTGACTTCAATGGCTCCCTATGCTTTGGCATTTTGCAGGCCTTTTTAATATAATGACCAGATAAAGTGGCTTGGAGCCATTCTCCTGCCTACAGTGGGCAGCCCAGTGCCCTCCTAAAGATTTATGACATAGCTTCTTATGATCTCTTAGAGCCTCTTGCTGTGAATTTTGGCTTCTTAATCAACCAGCTCAACTGGTCCTCTGGGCCCTAGTTTTCTGCATGATATTACTGATGGCCCTCTGGGAAGATCACATGATAGCAATTGTGTTCCCACAGGCTGAAGAGGGGAGTTTTGATCTTGAGTTCTGTAACCACCTTTGTGGCAGGGCCAAGTTGTCATGGTACTCCACCTGTTTCTAGTCCCTCATTGGCATGGCTCCTGTTCCAGAACTTCCTTGTTGTTATCAAGACAGGAAACAAGATTCAGTGTGATGCCTGCACCATGGTTGGACAGTAGGGTGGCAGGTTGCATACACACAAGCAAGGAAAGTCACAGGCTATCCCTGCAGAGTGACTCGCATCCCAGGTACCTCCAGGTTCTTTAGGTATCCATGGATCTGACATCCCTGAGGTTGTCAAGGGGCTGGGTAGTACAAGGTGAACTTATGAGGGAGTTGATGCCCCCTGGGTGATCTTTCCCAGTGGGCTACTTCTCCATTTTTCTCCATAGTTAGCTTTTAAGGAGAAGCAGTAGTTTCATAGGATCTCTCAGAAGATATCTCCTGTGAGTTGTGACCAGCCATGTAATGCTTTAATTTCTTCCCACCTCACTCTTCTTTCAATCCCTCACTGGCATCCCTAGGATTGTACTTTCCAATAAAATGTACTATGATAGCTTTTGATTCAGAAATTGTTTTTAGTGAAACCAGCCTAAGATATCCTATCTAATAAAAAAGAAACATGGTAATTAGCCATAACTTCGCTACCCTTCCCATTGGCTAATCAGCAAGATATGCAAATTAACTGCCAACCAAGATGGCGGCCGGCAGCCAGGCAGCTGATGTGAACAGGGAGGCTTGCTTGCTCCAGTGATGGAGGAAGCCAGGTTCCCCACCTGCCTCCGGCCTCTCAGTTGCTCTCTTAGAAACATTGTTACAAATATACAAGCTAAACAAAACCCAAGAAACCTGAGAAAAGGACAGGTTGGGAGCTTCAGTCACTTGCCAGCCTGAAAATGGCCCTCAGCCCCTCACCCAGACTGGCCAGGCACCCCAGTGGGGACCCCCCCCCTGAAGGGGGTGTGACCAGATGCAAACAACCATCATCCCCTCACCCAGGCTGGCCAGGCACCCAAGCGGGACCCCCACCCTGATACAGGACACCCGTCAGGGCAAACCAGCCGGCCCCCACCCATGCACCAGGCTTCTATCCTATATAGTAAAAGGGTAATATGCCTCCCAGCACCGGGATCAGCGGAGTCACAAGGCCTCCTGAACCCAGGATCAATGAAGCAGCGAGGCCTCCCGGCACCAGGATCAGCAGAACTGCGAGGCCTCCCGGCCTGTGATCAGCAGAACCACAAGGCCTCCCAAATCCGGGATCAGCAGAGCCCCGAGGCCTCCCGAATCTGGGATCAGAGGAGCTGTGAGACCTCCCAGCACTGGGATCAGCTGAGCAGTGAGGCCTCATTGCCCCGGTGTCAAGCAGAGCTGCAAGGCCTCCCAGCACCGGGATCAGTGGAGCTGTGAGGCCTCTTAGCCTGGGATCAGTGGAGCCACGAGGCCTCCCGAACCCGGGATCAGAGGAGCTGTGAGGCCTCCTGGCACCGGAATCAGCGGAGCCACGAGGCTTCCTGGCCCCTGGAGCAGCGTGACAGGTGGCAGTGCCCAAACCCTCTGATTGCCCTGCGGCTCTGTGTGTGACAGGGGGCGGGGTCACAACCTCCCTATCCGCCCTGCTCTGTTTGTGACAGGGAAGGCACCCCAACCCGCTGATCGGCCCTGCTCTGAGCCTGATAGGGGGTACCTCCCCAACCCCCTGATTGGCCGGCTCTGTATGTGACAGGGATAGTGCCACAACCCCCTGATCTGCCCTTCTCTGTGCGTGACAGGGGGTGGCGCTCCAACCTCCCCATCGACCCTGCCTTGAGTGTGACGGGGCAGCACCCCAACCCCCCAATTGGCCCTGCCCCAAGCATGACTGAGGGCGGCATCACAACCTCCTGATCCACCCTGCTCTGTGCATGACAGGGGGTGGCGCCCCAACTCCCCAATCAGCCCTGCTCTGAGCCCGACCAGGGGCTGCGAGGCAGGCACCTAGGGATTGAGCCTGCCCTCTGCCACCCGGGAGCAGGCCTAAGCCAGCAGGTCATTATCTCCTGAGAGCTCCCAGACTGTGAGAGGGCATAAGTGGGGCTGAGAGAACCCCCCCCCCCCCCCCCCCGGCCAGTGCACAAATTTTTGTGCATCGGGCCTCTAGTAAAGCCTTATATTAGGACAAGGGTATGCAAGCCAACCTAAACTGGAATATTTGAGTTGCCTCAAAAAAATTATATAATTATGGGGATAATGAGTTGAAATTTTTAATAGTATTTACCTAATTCAAATTATGAGAGGAATATATGTTTGTTATGTAAAAAATCATAAAATACAGACTTTATTATTAATGAACTCATGTTCTGTCTTCCTCTGTGCTTTTCCTCCTCACTCCACAATCCTAGCACATGTTCCTCTTATTAATGAGAGAAGGTTCTGATAGTCATTCCCAAAGAAGCACTAGGGAATTTCTCATTGTCTTTTCCAGGGAGAAGTGCAGAATCTTTAGAAACACTACCCGCAAACTCCAGAACTAGAAGCGGAACGGACAGCAACATCAGGCAGAAGAGACCAGTGAGTGAAGGAGATAGCCTGCTGCTGACCTACTTGGCCTGTGCACAGGTTGTATTCCAGATTTATTCAGGGTGTGTACACATGTGTGTCTGTGCGCTTCAGAGTGAATGGTGAGGGGCAACAGCAAGAGAAAATCGGGAAATTTTGCTGAGTTGTTATCTCCACATCACCTTCTTCATTTTCCAATCAGCTCCCACTGAGGCGGAAACAGAGATTTGGAACATAGTGAGTTGCTAGCATCACAGCCTTCAGAGAATGCCCTGGAGCCATATATCAAATGATTCAGGTCCAAATGAGCTCACATTTCTACCTTTGTCAAGTGAGGCTTCTGTGACTGCAGGGGTCTTTGAGACATGTTCAAAAATAAATGCAAAGGTTTAGCGAATTTGCCAGAATGCAGACCTTCACCTTTTAAATCGCTTTAGTACTGATGGAATGTGTGGTTGCTGGACAAAATGGACTTGAAATATCATCGAGAAAGAAAAATAAATCAAGACATGCTTCCTTCCGGTGTCTTGCTCTGAAAGCGGGGATAAAAGGCCCAGAAATAAGAGAGGGTCAGATCTGGGTTGTATTTATAACAGCAGTGAATGAACAACAGCAAAAATCCATTCCCTATCTACAGAGCTTGAAGGGCTAGAGAGATCAAATCAGATAAATAACAGAAATTCTAGATAAAAGGAAGATTGCCCACAGCCCAGACATCCCGGGCTCTAAAGAGACTGCATGGGACTCCTGAAAGCTGGTGGGAGGATGCTGAGAAGGGGCAGGAAAAAAGAGAGGATAACTGTGTGGGCTGGCAGCTAAAGTGAGGGGCTTAGTAAGGCCTCAGGCTTTCCATCTCCTAATTTTATTTTTTCCCATTTGCTCTTGCATTTGAAACTCAAGGATTTTTATAGGAAACCCTCAAGATTGAGTGGCTGTTATTGTGTTTTTTTCTAAAATATATTTTTTATTGATTTCAGAGAGGAGGAGAGATAGAGATAGAAATAGAAACATCAATGATGAGAGAGAATCATTGATCGGCTGCCTTCTGTATATCCCTACTGGGGATCAAGCCCACAACCCAGGTATGTGCCTTGACTGGGAATCAAACTTTGACCTCCTGGTTCACAGGTTGATGCTCAACCACAGAGCCATGCCAACCAGACCGCTGTTTGTTTGTTTTTAAGTTTGGCTCTTTTGGTGGTAAGAAACAGAGTGTCACCCACATTACCTGAGAACAAAAGTTTTTCTGTAGGGACACACGTGGATAGAAACAAAGGAGTTATTAGGAAATAAACAGCTCTAATGACTTCCTACTTTCTCTCTCATTAGCTTCATGGTCTCTCCACCCTCCTAGAATCCTCACTTCTCCATGAACCCATTCTCTGCAATCATTTTTTGCTACCACCTGGATTTCTAGGCATCTTCTTTGATTTTGCACCATGTCCTTGGCTTGCCCTTGAGTCATTGTGAGTCCTCTGATCCTGGTTCTCTTTTTTGAGCTGTAGTTCCCAATATTAAATCATCATCTTAGCATTCCTTATTTTAACTTTAACTAAATGATGTATGGTTGTCTGCTTTTACATCCAATCTATTGTGGTCAAAGAGTAGAATCATGTAATATACAACATAGTCACCTCGGCAGCAGGTTCTGGGAGCTGGGAAAGGATCTGGGAGAGAAGGGGTAATCAACAACCGTTTCCTCCAGACTAACAGGCAAGCTGGATTCTGAGTAAGAATGTGCACTAGCTGGTTTTGGTTAAAGGTGTCATTAGTCCAATTACCTGTGTGGTCTGGGTATGGGCATGGCATATGCAGCAAGAACTGGGAGAAAGGAAGGAGCCAATATGTGTCAGTAATCCTTTATGATCCAGACACTTATAGGGACATATAATTACTTTGTAGTTAGATAGACCAGCTCTGGGAAAAGAACTTAAATTCATCAAGATTCAATTTTCTCTGCATTAAAACAATAATATCTACCTTACCAAGTAGCCGTGAGGATTAAATAAAAGAATGTATGTGAAAATATATGGTACATTGAAATGTTTGCTTGGGAACAGTAAGGCATGGGTTAAGAATATACAAAGGCTCTGAAATCAAACTAAACTCAAATCCTGGCTCACGACTCATTAGCTGGACAACCTTGAACAAGTTAGTCAAGCCCCTAGTGAGATTAATGGCAGTGAATGGCATAAACCATATTCTCAATAACTATTTAGTGTTTTTATTATAAGTTTTAATGTTTATTTAATATTGAAATAAATTAGTATGTATGCAAGCCTGTCAGGTGGAGAGAATGAGAGTAAGGACTGACTTGTTGCAAAGTTTGACAAGGGCCACATCATAAAAGACCAGGGTAGCAGTGTTGGCACCCAGTGTCTTGCATTAGGAAAATGCAGATCTGTGGTGCAGCCAGCCTGCAAAGGTCTGTCTCCAGATTTGTTGGATTAAATCCATTCTCCATGCTGCTGCCTGAGACATCTTGCTAAACTTCAGATCTGAGCATAATGCTCCCCAAATAGAGCCCTCCATGGCTCCCAACCCCTGCAAGTAAAGTTCAACCCCCTTTGCATGGCATTTGAGGCCCCCAGGATCATTCCAGGGCTCTGTGGGTCCCTGATGCCACAGCTGGGCCACCAGGAAACCGTTCTTCCATTTCTGCTGCTTTGTTTCTCCTATTGTTGAGACAGAGCTTCGGGAAGGTAAAAGGGACAGATGGAGACCAGGTTATGTGCTCACATCTCAGCTGCCAGACAGCTGGGAAAGTGAAAACCTCCATTTTCATCTTTCAGGAAAGCATGAGATGTGAATCACTTTTTCCATATTCCAAATATAAATGGTGGCTGATCTTTCAGGGCTATTCGTATTTGAATGAAGTAGGAAGTTTTCACCACACTATATTGACTTCACAGGCATTTTGATTCCTTCTGTTTCTGATTTGCCTTTATAAATAATAAAAATATATTAGTTAACATCTAATTCACATGAGATATTATTGATAGAAATAATCAAAGTAAAAATATTGGTAACAGCTAAAACTTTAAGTGGTTAAATGTGTTACAGAAGAAAAAAAAGAGTAAAGTTAAAAAAAACCTCAGATATCAATTGGAGAAATAATGGTTTTTGAAGATATAACCAACAAAACCATCAATGGTCAAAACTAAGTATATTAAGATATTGACATTATTGATGAGTGAATAAAATCGTTTTGAAAAAATTTATAAATGCAAACTTGTGTAAAGAAAATTATAATTTGTGTAAATAATGGCCTCCAAAGATAACTTACAGCGGCAGGAACTATTAACATTCAATTTGATGTGGACAAAAAAGAAATCAGTGAAAGCTCTATTATAAAAAGCATACATGGAAAGCGGTGGATATTCATGAAAATAATTTTAGTAAAATGGAAATAAAATTGGCAAAATATTACTAAATGGAAAATAGGTCAAAAATTAAAATGATGTAATCATACCGTGTGTGTGTGTGTGTGTGTGTGTGTGTGTGTGTCTGTCTGTGTGCACGTGCGGCATGTGGTCCCGCACCCGTGCGCCTGCTCATGTGTCCCTTAGAAAAATTCACCAATATTGATATAATTCTGGGTACATATTTATATTTACAAATATTGAGTTTAAACCATTTTAGCCTCACTACATTTTGATTGAATTGAACAACTGTCAACCAGAAATTGTACCACTTACTCATTTATTGGCAACGACACTTTAAAAGTACTTATTTAAAGTACTTTTAAATAAGTATTTCTCTGAACCCAAGATAAAAGGCAGGGATTTATTCATATCTTCTGAGTTGATAATTAGATTCTGAGAGCAAGCTGCTATGCAATGTGCTACCAGTATGAGAGGGTTTCCACTGGGGAGGACAGCAACTGTCACTCTATTACCTGGAAGCTTTCAGAAAAGCCTGCGCTCTTCAAGGCTCTGAGTAAGCAACAGAACACAGTGCAGACAGCTTCTGGGAGTTTCCCAAGGGGTCTCCAGCTCTCTTCTGTCATCCCCTCAAAGAATTTTTCCTCTCTGTTGCTGAGAACACAGACAGGACTGAGGGATCCTGGGGGTCTACCCCCTATAGTTGGCAGTGCAGTGGCATGCATATGATTTAGAGCCTTACTGTTTAGAAGTAGGATGCATGGGGCATCTCTTCATTGTAGCCCCATGGACACTGCCTGCTGAGATCCATTTCTGCACATCTAACAGCATGTACTAAGATCTCTTTGTAAATGCTTCATTGTGACATGGACACAATGAATGGAACAGATGTGGTGGGCCAACCTCCAGGGGTTTGTAATCCAAGGCATAAGGACAGACAGCAGGAACACAGTTGAGCGCTCAGGCATAACCTGCAAGCCAGGGCACAGGTATGACAGTTGGGACTCACACAGCGCTGGATGGAAGACTGTTCCTTCTTTACAATGTCTGCTGCATTTTACCACAGGGATCCCTCCAAGGCTCCTTGACATAGCTAACTCTTCCTGTGCATTTCTAATAGGATCTGATTTACAAAAAATGTGTTGAAAACTTATGCAGGAGCCTATTGACTACATACAGCTCATGACTTTGTTCTAGGGAGATGTAACCAATATCGAATAGTCCAATAAAGAAATGTGAACTTGTATTTACATTATAAGCAACCTAAGAGGCTCCTTTCAATGTGCATAAAACCTAGTTCATTTCTGTGCCTAGCTGAACACCTGGCTTGTGGTAAATGGTCAACTAATGCTTATTATGAATAAACTAGAGGTGAACTTGTATTTACATTATAAGCAATCTAAGAGGCTCCTTTCAATGTGCATAAAACCTAGTTCATTTCTGTGCCTAGCTGAACACCTGGCTTGTGGTAAATGGTCAACTAATGCTTATGAATAAACTAGAGGCCCGGTGCACAAAAATTTGTGCACTCGGGGGGAGGGGGTCCCTCAGCCCGGCCTGTGCCCTCTAGCAGTCTGGGACCCCTCAGGAGATAACGACCTGCTGGCTTAGGCCTGCTCCCGGGTGGCAGAGGGCATGCCCAATCCCTAGGTGCAGCCCCTGGTCGGGCTCAGAGCA